AGGTCATAGAGAGGTGCCACATCACCTCCTCTATGATCCTCATTTATATAATAAATAGTTATTTTATTTAAACCCACAATTTTTTCTTTTACCTATCAACAAATGATACCAAAAAATAAAATAAATCATAAAAATAAGGTGAAACGCCATAACAATAATGAAAAGAAAAGATAATTGTTTTTTTAAATTAGATATCTCTCGTTAAAAAAACAAATAACATTATTTATTTTTTAAAATCTATGTCCGAACACCTACTTAAAAGATACAAAGATGTTGAAATTTTAAATGAACTATGCATATTTAAAATCGCATCTCGAATGAAAAAAAATTGTAAAACTAATATTTCGTATCTACTTTATTCATTACGTTCTTTCTTTCCCTTTTTTGCTACACGTCAATTTTTCATTAAATCTTATTTTGACACTATGTGCCCATAAAAAATACCATTACATGTTATTCAAATTCGATATTAAAAAACAATCAAAACGAGTAATGACCTAATGAAAAACTCAAAAGGAAAAAGAAAATATTAGCAAAGAATTGACACTGTAATAACCATTAAAAATTATAGAATTTCAATATATTTTCAAATGTTGTTTTCCACACAGGTTTTGGGCTTTTAAATATAAAGGGGTATTTGTATTGAATTGTTTTAAGTAGCTTATAGACTTTAAAAATTATGAAAAATGTAATTAAAGTAAATTAAATATTGATGCATAATTTTATTTTAGCTTTATTATTATTATTATTATTATTACTATATATATTTTATAATAACAATAGTGTATAATATTATTGAAAAACACTTAAAAAAACAAACAAATTTTGTAAAATTACTTTTTGCAATTCTTATTAAGTTATACTAATATATTTCTAGGAATAAAAAAAACATAAGGAAAAGGAATAAAATAAAATAAAGAAAGGAAAATAAATGATTCAAGAGATAATATAAATAATATTAATAATGAGATTAAGGGGAGGAAGTAAAAGACTTAATAGCACTAATGATTATACGAATTATACATAGTTATTTTTGCTATTTTATAAAATTAAATGTAAAATTATCAATCTTTAAAAATTAGAAAAAATGTAATTACAAAAAAATAAATATCAATGCTAGACTAAGAAGGGTGTTATTCTATTTTTTTATTTTAGATATTATTACACACACACATATATAAATTCGTATAAATTAATAACAAAAAATAGAAATTAAAATAAAGTAATTTAAGAAAATAGTATAAATGACATTAATAATGAGATAAACGGAAGAAAGTAAAAGGAGCTAATATCACTAATGGCCAAATTTATTATCATCTACCATCCAAATTTTTCATATTCTTTATTCAAAATCAAAACTCATCCATATATTGACATATGAAATTATTTATGTTCGCTTTTAACTTCTTCATCTTTATGTAGTGTTTGAGTTACATAATTTATTCAGTTTCTATACAAAAATGTTATTTGAGCTCTCTTGTATATTTATTATTTCTATTTTTAATGTATTTTTTTTACGAACTATTAATTTTTTATGTCTTTACTATGAAATATTTGTGTTTTTCCTATCCAGAGGATATCAAAAAGATATTTTTGAAGTAATTTGCTATTTTGAATATTCCATAAGTTTTTAGATATTTCTGAAGAGATCATAAAAACATTAAATATTGTTTTTGAATGATCTCAAATATCTCATAAATTATTAGATATTTATAAAGATTAAAATCTCAAATATCCTATAACTTTTGAATACTCACAGAGAAATCTTAACAATATCAATATTATTTTTGTTAAAGATATCTCGAATATCTCATAAATTTTTTGAATATTCATAAAATATGAATTTATATTTAAAAACATAGAATAAACAATTTTATAACTATAATATTTATCAATATTTTTTATTTCTTCAAATAAATATAAAAGAAGGGGTCATAATTGGAACAAAAGGACGATAACACTAAAAGTAAGACATGACACCTCCCTTTGGCTAGAATTGTCATTTATTTATTTTATCTGCTTTTTCCCGTGATTTGTTCTTTTTTTAAAAAAAGATATACAAATTTAATTTGTCTCTTTCTTTATTATTACTACACTATTTATATCTTCCTAAGATCCCTTCCTTTCCTTCTTTATTTTTCATTATTTTTTCTCGTACCAAAATAATTATACTTTTAATTCCCTCATTTTAGATTTTTTTCTTATCAAATTCAAATTTTCACAAAATAGCTATGCACTTATAGTTTCTCTTTCCTCATTAATATTATACTAATTATATCTTTCCAAAATTATTTCTTTTAACTTCTTTATTAATTTTAAAAACATTACAAATATAGTTGTAATTAAACTATAACAAACATAATTATTATTTATATATGCATAAATAAATAAAATTGGATACAGGTCCAATTAAATTTATCTCTTTTTTCTCTATTTTTTGTTTCGATTTTTTTCTAATTTTTCATAATCAATTATTTTAAAAACTCTTAAACTAATAGAAGTGTAATTGTTATTATATATACAATATTAATAAAATAAGAAGTTATATTTATCTCTTTTGTCTCTTTTTTTTTCACAATTAATTTGTTTTTAAAAAAACATTTTTATAACTCACACCTCTACATTTATAAATAACAATCTTCTAATTCTATTAATAAAATATTCATAATTATCTTATCTTTCATACTTATAAGTATTATTATTTAATTTTGCATGTGTTAAAATATGGGAGAAAAAATTATTTACTTG